AAAATTATAAATGCAATAAAATGAAAAACATGAATAATACTGAAAGAAAGTACAATGCAATTCATTTCCATATTATAAGGAAGTGTATTATATGAAAGAAAACATAGGCAGCAGAAGATATAGAAAATGCAAAAAATATCTTATATATTTCATTTTGCACTTCTACATTTCACACTTCTACATTAAGTTAATTGCAAAGACAGGGTGATAAAAAATTATATATTTTAAAAGCAGATAATATTTATAAAAAAAAAGATAGTATCCAATAAATATAGATCCTAAAACAAAAATATTGAGATGGGCCTTTATTGTCTTTAATTGTTTATTAAGTTATGAGTCTTTATTGTCACTATAAGAGGTGCTTTATAACCTTCAGATCATCTTATTAGTAAATAAAATGCTAGCTATAAACTGCGGATCGAAGTGCTCCTTAAGGGCAACGATTCATGCACAATAAGGTACTATTCCATTTTCTACGCATCGTCTGACAATATCTAACTTAGACATTTAATGGATAGTGGATTGGAGAAGTCCAGTAGTTTGACTTGTCAAATCCCCTAATTTTAGACCTTAATCCCTTAGATTTTTAGCTGTGAAGTTTAATATATTTAATATCTGTCAATAATGTATCAACTCTGCAAGAATGTGTATTCAACGCATACCTATTAGAAAATCCGAGAGCAGCCAAATATATGCATAAAAGTGCGTGATTCTCTACAATACTTAGGACTGAGAAATGTATGACAATAGGAATTATATAAAGCACTTCTTATAGTGATGACATAAACTGACTCATTAGTATTTGTTTTATAACCTAAGTTTCTTAAATTTTTCTCTCAATGTTGTTTTAATGAATACTACCTGTATATTTCAAAATATTACATGTAAACCTTTCTTTAATCAATCTATTAGTAGAAGGTTAACGTAACACTCGTTGAAAATTGTATTTTCCACATGTATTTATCTTTCACTTTTAGAATCCTTGACGTATCCTGATCTCATTTACAATAAGAGACACGACTTTAGCGATTTTCTCCTTTAGAAGTTAGATGTGAAGGAAAGTTCGTTCCAGTCGTCGCCATTGCCTCGGGTATACGAGATAAATTGAAAAAAGATGGCGAGATAGATAGAGAGTTAGATAGGGAAAAAGAGAAATGAAACTGTATGGACTATTGGTAGACTTTAATCCGCCTTGTCTACAACAATTTCGTGCAATTAGGTTCGCACAACGCCATGAGCATTCCTACAATAATTTAAGATCCTCGCAAGAACGTAGCAAGCTTATTTTTTTAGAAAAATTAATCTAAAATCAGTTTTATTTTCAAGGAATAAATTACTGCTTCAATCCGTATTTATGTCTCGTATTTAACGCTAAATATGACCATTTGTACACACGAATTTATATAATAATTTCAAATGCTATACACGTATTTTTATGTCAAGATATTAGATACCTTTGTTCTTAGTACAATATAACGAAATAATTCATTCACAATCAACTCACGAAACATAATGTCCTCGTTTTATTTAATAATATTAAGTAAAATATTTCATAAAATTGTAAAAATGTCTTATGGAATATTTTGACTTCTTATAAAGATATTTGTGTGGATTCTGCAGTGAGGCAAATCGGTATCGGTAGGCATGAATATGTATGCAAGCGAATGAAGTACTTTGGCAGAACTCCGCTATATATCTCGTTTCGTGCTAAACGTAATTGTAGTTTACAAGGTAGAGTTTCGCCGGAACATGAGTTTGCCACTATTTAATTACAAATGCGGACCCATTATTAATTAATCACTCTTCTACTTGTACAATCGAGCATTATATTGTAATAACTAGTAATTAGAGACACTTGATATAGGCATAGTTGTCGACTCTATTATAGTCTGCAATAATGTCTTTCAATATATATTCCCCGTAATTATGCATTTGCCGATTGTCAGCGGATTATTATTCTTGTTATGCCGGTATTGGAAAAACTGTGTGATATATCGTTCTGTAATACATTACGATCATATCTCGCTATATCGCCGCGAACAATATACATATTTCACCGTTAAATCCAGGGTTGGATAGTAACTAGTTAAAACATTAAAAGTTAAAAAAAAAAGTTAAAAAGTTAATAACTTTTAACTTAATTTAGTTAATTTTAAATGCATTAAATTGTAACTTAACTAAGTTACTTTTAAACTTTAACTTTTTAAGTTAACAAATTTTTTTTTATCTCTTTTAAATATCTTAGAAAAATGATAAGATATAATAAGATTAAGGACGTATATTCGTAATCTGTTCATATTTTAAGACCATCTTACGTAATTTTTTAAGATGCTAATACAGCCCTCTGATGATTTATGCAATTATGCCTTATGCCATAAGCTTTAGTCCGGATCTAGGTATTTTAAGTCTTAAGTCATAAGAAATTGACCAATTATAATCAAATATTCTTCTCACATTCGATTGTAATTGGTCAATTTCTTATGGTCAATTTCTCTTTGGCTTAAGACTTATTAAAAAGTAATCACTGATCTTATATCTTCTCTCTATGTGCTGGCTGTTTTATTAAAGTTATATAACTTATATAGTTATATCATTATGTGTTATATACTTATATCACATATGAATAAAAAAATTAAAAAGTAAATTTATTTAATAATCTATATTGTAGTTATTTCATTCTAATCTCATTCTAAGAAAAATTACGTTTAATTTAAAAAATAATTTTTTTCAAAATTAACTTTTTTTTAATTTAAATTAATTCAATATTGATGTTAAGTTAATTTTTTATTCCTTCAACTTTTAACTTAACTTTATTAATTTTGTAAAGCCATTAACTTTAACTTTATTCAATTAAAAAAACTTACCCAATCACATAAATTTAAATCACATTAAATGGTTAAATCACATTTGCTTATGGCAACTAATAAATCCTCATTCATTTTAGATATTTTCTCATTCGCGTGCTTGAGAATGTATCATGTATTCTTGTTTGAAATCGCATTTCTCTCACTTAAGTTGGCTTAATCGCTATATTGCTAAGATAAAATATTATATATAT